CTCGTTATTTGGCCCGCTCTCTCAATCCAATTTCTGATTTGATGTTTATTCTTTGTTAATCCTAATTTAAACTAATTTCATCATTTATTATAGTCGTACTTAGCCAAGTAAAGCTTTGAACCGTGTTGCTCCACATAAAGATATGGAGATATCGTTTGCAAGAAACCAACACTTTAATAGTTTTTTTCTAAATGTTGAAGAAAGATAAATGGATAATTTGGAGTTTTCTAATTTTTTTTAGATTCAATGATGTTTTTGTTGATCATGAATTCACATTTTTTAGAGCTATTGTGGATGAAATGTGCGGTGAATAACTTATGGAGCAATTTCCCTGTGATTGTAGAGTTTATTTTTCAAATTGTTGGCTCAGTCGTATTCATTTTCTTGGTGTTAAAAAAGTTGGAGTACATATTCTTTTATTAATTCACTTAAGAGGAACAAAATTCCTTCTCAGTGATGTGAAAATTTGATATTTGTACATAGTAATCTTCGACTTCTATTTATGAAGAGCCCATAATATTCTTAGAGAGAGACAAAATTATATGGTGTTGGTGGAGATTCATTAACTATAATGAATGATATTGGAATACATAAATTTGCTAATCTTTCTCTTGCTCAGCCATGCTTAGAAACATTGTTTTTTGTTGATGAGCCCTACATAGAAACAATGTCATTGATAAGGGTAATGGAGCTAGCATTAATAATGACTCTATTATTGAATGCACAACTTCAATTAGTGATGACTTGAGGATTGTGTTATTAGATTTTACTTTGTTTTATTATGAATGACATTAGCATTTAAGCGTTTTGGTGTTTTTTTATATTTTGAAAGTAATTTAATATTGCTAAAAATAATATTTATTATTATAAAGTTTTAATGATGAAGAGTTGTAAAATAAAGAATACTAGGATTCATGATCGTAGAATTAGATGGGGGAACCTAAAAACTACAAATAAAATTATTTTTATGAGTAAAATTTGAGATTTCAAAATTTAGGATGATCATGATGAAACAAATGCTATGTGGGTTAAAGTATCAAACACTATTATTTAAGTAGCAAACGATGTACTTGGAGAATCAAAAGAAAAAAATTCTATAAATAAAAAAAGTTGGTGGTGGAATAATAATGTGTAAGCAAAGATAAAATATAAGAAGTTATAAAAATTAGTTTAAATGTAAAAGCTTAGAGAATTGAGAAAAATATCAAACGGTCCGCAGAGAGTTTAAAAGAAAAATCTGTGACGCTAAAAATTCTGCTTTTAGTGATCTTTATAATATTTTAGATACTAATGAGGGTGAAAAATATATGTATAAACTAGCCAAACAAAGAGAAAAGAAAAATAAAGATTTAACTAAGTAAAGTGTATTAAAGGTGAAAATCAAAAAACTTTTTTTTTAGAAAAAGATATTCAACATAGGTGGGTGAGTTATTTTGATAAATTTTTTAATGAAGTTTATGAAAATATGATTGACCTTAGTGAACTTAATATCCTTAATAATAATAAAACATTTCATTTTTACCGTCGCATTAATAAAAAAGATGATGATTAGACTTTAAAGAAAACTAATGGTGGTGAACCTGATAATATCCCAATTGAAATGTGGAAATATTTCCTGTCGAATCTGATAATATCCCAATTGAAATGTGGAAATATTTAGGAGATTTGAGAGTTTCTTGGCTTACTAAACTCTTTAATATTATTTTAAAAACTAAAAAGATGTCTGAGGAGTGGAGGAAGAGTATTTTGGTCCCCATTTTTAAGAATAAAGGTAGTGTACAAATTATAGAGGACTTAAGTTGATGTGTCATACTTTAAAATTATTGGAGAGGGTAATTGAATATAGGTTAATTCATATTACAAAGATTTCTTAAAATCAATTTGGATTTATGTCGGGCAAACCTATTATGGAAGCTATACATTTATTGAGAGGTTTGATGGAGAAGTTCAGAGATAATAAGGAGAGTCAACATTTGATTTTTATTGATTTAGAAAAAGCTTGCGATAAGGATCCAAGAGATATCCTTTGGAGAGTTCTTGAGAAGAAAAATGTTGATATGACTTATATTCAAGTCATTAAAGATATGTATACTAGAGTTGTTCCTCGTGTTCTAACTGAAGGAGGATTGACCAAATATTTTCCTATTTCTGTTGGATTACATCAAGGACCAGCTTTAAGCCCATATCTTTTTTGCTTTAGTTATGGATGGTCTTACTGGACATTTATAGGAGGATGTACCTTGGTGTATGCTTTTTGCTGATGATATCCTTCTCGTGGACAAGACGAGAGAAAAAGCCTAGGAAGAACATAAATTATGGAGGTCTACATTGGAGTCTAAAGACCTTCATTTGAGTAGATTTAAAACTGATTACATGGAATATAATTTTAGTAGTAGTTGTTCTAGTGGCATAAGTTTAACTTTGACCAAATTATTAAAAGGTGACAACGATTTAGATATCTCGGTTTTGTTGTTCAAAGCGATGGTGATATATATGGGGATGTTAATAGTAGAATTCAAGTTGGTTCAGGTGGAGGAATGCTTCGGGCCTTTTGTGTGATAGAAAAGTGCCGCTTAGATTGAAAGGAAAATTTTATAAGATTGTATGGGGACCTGCAATGCTCTATGCCGCATGACGTTGAATGTTGGCCTTTAAAAGAGAAGCATAATACCAAGTAATTGTTGCCGAGATGAGAATGATTAGGTGGATGAGTTGCTTTACACTTAGAGACAAAATGCAAAGTGAATATATCCGTGATATGGTTGTTGTAGCTCCAGCGACTGACAAAATTAGAGAGTCGTCTTAGATGGTTTGGTCACATTAAACGTCGACCATATGACGATCTGATTAGGAGAGTAGATGTTTTAGATTTGACTTGTGTTAAGAAAGGCAGAGGTAGACCTAGGAAAACTTGAGTTTATTGTATAAAAAATGATCTTAATTTTTTAGAGCTAAACGAAAATATGACACTAAATAGGACGCATTGGAGAAATTTTTTAGAGCTAAATAAAAATATGACACTAAATAGGACGAAATGGAGAAAAAATGATTCATATAGCCGAGCGCACGTAGTGGGATTAAGGTTTTGTTGTTGTTGTTGTGCGCATGTAGTGGGATTAAGGTTTTGTTGTTGTTGTTGTTGTTGTTTGTTATAAAGTTTTTTTAATTATTGCATGTTTTTTTTTATGATGTTTTTTGTAGAAAATATTAAAATATACATTTATATTAATTATTTATTAAAGATAAAAAAATGTATCCCTGTCTTGTCCTGTCAACTTTTTTCGATTATGCCGTGTCTTGTCAACTTTTTGGGAGTATGCTGGGTCACCATATTGTGTCCCCTTCCCCGTGTTCATGTCTGTGTGTAGGGAGATTGGGTAATTGGAGGTGGAGATGTGAGTTTAAGCATCAGTTGAACGTAGAGGGAATTGCAGGTCATATGGGACTGTGTATTTTGTAGTTAATTCAGATGCAACTAAATAACTGATTCCTTTAGGATTGCATTTATATAATACATGCATTTTATATCCATGAAACCAACCAACCCTTAGGAGAACATGACAATGCATTCTTTGTGTTCACGAAGTTTGGATGAATGTATCCCTAAACCACACTCCTTTTTTGGTTGCGCTGAGAAGTCTTAGAGCTTATTTGTTAGAAGTTTCTGAATGCCTAATGGATGGGATGCACCCGATTTTTGGGTGGACATAATGCACTAAGATGATATGTATCTATAAATTTATTTTAAATAAGCTTAGTAAAAGGGAAAGTGCAGTCAATTTCTTAGGTTGATCAGATTGTAATTTTTAGTCTGTTTAATATTTTACATCATTTTATAGTTATAGGCATCAAATCTAATAAATAAGGTATTCATACCACAAGTTTTACCAATTAAACCAGTTTCACACCCAATCACTTTGTGAAAACCTTCAAACGCTGCTCTCCTTTTAATCTTCTCTCTGCAATGCATTATGGTCAAAATATTGAAAGACCGTGAATTGTCTTAATATTTTAAACAACAAACCATTGTCCTAGCATAATAACGACTTGCACAATTAGGGTTTACCCGGTCACTGTGGTTGCTGCCAATATGTCGAATTTTATGATTTCTTAAACAAAATCCTGATGTCTTAGTATTATAATGAATTGCACAGATTTTGTAGCTTGTCATAGCTTTGTGTTATAAAGAGGCCACTAATGATTTCCTCTAGATCACAATAAAAGCATCCTAATCATCATTCAAGCCTTGATTGTAATTAGTAAATTGAAAGTAGGAATAACTCTATAACAATGGGCCAAATCACAACAATTTGTTATGCATGATAGAAAGTAATGTAGGGAGGGCGTTGTTCGATATGATATTTCTCATGATAGGGGTCTTTGGAGGCCAGTCCAATTTTTTCTACCTTAAAGGAAGGTCTTATTCATTCTCTATCTTCTTGCATTCAAATCAATTGCCTTCTGTACGAATATTTTTATATACTTTAATTGCTTCATCAAAACATTAGCCCAGTCCAATTTTTTCTACCTTCAAGGAAGTTCTTATTCATTCTCTCTCTTCTTGCATTCAAATCAATGGCCTTCTGTACGAATTTTTTTATATACTTTAATTGCTTCATCAAAACATTAGCAATTCTGTATTAGATAGTATCCTGGAGTTCTCGCCTAGATTTTAACTCAATTTCGGCAACTTTTAGATATGGAGCTTCACTATGAAGTCCGCATGCTGCAAGCAGGAGATTGTCATACATACAGACCCAAAGAACTGCGAGTATGTGATAATCAGTGGGGCTCAGCGCAAGACTGAGGTTTTCGATGTTGAAGATGCTGAAACATTTGCTCTTCCAGCTGATGAAGGTGTGTATGATGATTTCCTTTTGTTTACTGTAAAATATTTTCAATGTTGACTGGTTATCGTATGATTGTCATCCATAAAAAATATTTCAGATAGAGGTAAGCTTTCAGATCCATTTTACCGGCTGGAACATGAAGATCAAGACCTGCAGAAGAAGAAGGAAGCTGAGCCACGGTTAGTTCGTCTTCAGAAAGTTTCTGACAGCAGGCATTCCAATGACTACAGCCTAAACAGGGCTCTCAGGGATCGTCTAAGGGTATAAATAATAACAATTTCAAGTGTTTAATTCCATGTAAGTTGATTATTTTTTATTTGATAACTAAGGTTTATTTTGTTCGATTTACAGAGTCAGAAGAGAAAGATTGGCGATGAAGAACAAGTTGCGAGAAAACTTGGTCTTGGAATACGGCTTCTCCCTCCATCACAACAGGATGCTGCAAGCGCTGCAGCTGCTAGGTTCTCGTCCAAATTTGAAAGCAATCGCAAGGACAAGCAAGCAGCCATTAAAGCTTCTTCCATCTTTGATCAAGCTTCCACTGCTTCAGGGAGCAGGATTCTGGAACTTCAATTGAAGAGAAGAAAAATCAATGCGTCTTCAGCATCTTTGTTGATAGCAGGCAGGGTGAAGCCTTCTTCATGGAAGCTTCAGAATCGGGTCTCTGTAAATAATGGGTCATCTTTGGTCAGGACAAGAAGGTGAAGCGGGAGCCAGAAATAAATGCTTGAAAGCTGGGTTGTTTGTTTGAGCAGTTTCAGATTAAATGGAGTTATTTGTTGAATGATGAGTATGATGGAGCATGAAGTTGTTTTTAATGTTCTTTTGGTTGAAAGCATGAAGTTGTTTTTAATGATTTTTATCAGATTTGTATTAGCTTATGTTCGCTTTTTCTCTTCAGCAATCTGAATTCTAGTAGATGTATATCTATTTCACCTAAGAATGTAATCGTGATTGAAATTTTGGTATCATCAATTTGATAGCTAGTAATTGATGCTCTTTTTGGGAGGAGAAAATATTACGTTCAGAGGTGGATGTAGAATTAATTTGGATACTAATCCCAAGTTGATCGTGTCAGACATATATTTTATATTTCAATTTAGAGGTGATGGAGAAGCCCGACCGAACCCTTTAGAAAATTGGCATTTCAAATACTTCATTATGCATTTCAAAATCTTTATTTCATTGTCCTTTACGCCCAGTCACTTTGCGTTCAGGTTAGGGCTTTTTCTTTCTCCTCGTCACCCAACATTCAGTTTACAAACTGATTTTGGTCGCAACGCGAGAGAGGCTAGTTTCAGTATGCAATACAACATTCAGTTTACAAACTGATTTTGGGTAAGTTACATCTACACAGGATGTTGGGTAATTAAACGCAACGCGAGAGAGGCTAGTTTCAGTATGCAATACAGGATGTTGGAATGACTATTATTCCTCTTATTTTCGGGTAAGTTACATCTACACAAGCTTAATCGCAATTTTTCCATTTCATACAGATTTTGTTTCAATTTAAAAATTGTCATTAATGTTTTGTATGTTTGTACCGGTTCATTTTCTTTCAGTACAGTATGGTCTAAATCAATTATTCTGGAGTTCAATCATGTTACACTAAATATTTTGTCATTGCTCACAGATTTTGAATATTTTGTCTAGTTTATACTTGTTAATTTGTTATCATAAATCTCAGTTGTTTCTCCTTAAAAGATATTTAGGGTAGCTTGAGTTTATTTCCTTCAGTACAATATGATTATATTCTAATTTTTTATGGAGTGCAATCATGTTATACTGTATATTTTGTCATAGCACACACATTTTGAATATTTTGTGTAGATTAAGCTTGTTAGTTTGTTGTTGCAATTCTTAGTTATTTGTTATTAAAATTTTTAGGTATGTCTAGGGTCTATTTTTCTTCAGTACAGTATAGTTTTACTCCAAGTTGTTTGGTTCACTATAAAATAAATACATTATTTTCAGTATATCGAAAATAATGTATTTAAAAATTTATTTTTTTGTTTGACAGCGACAGTGGGGGACCGATGGTAGTGGGCTAGTGGGCAGCGTGGCGGGGGGTCGGTGTCGCTACGGGCAGGCGACGGTTGCGACCTGCCACTGCAACGACCAGCGGTGGCAAACTACTGCGGAGGCCACCAAAGAAGGCAGCAAGCTGTTAAGCGGTGGAAAGGCAGCAAAGTGTAGGCGACGGGTGATAGTGAGTTGCCGCTGGCGGCGGCTCATGGGTTGCGGGCTGCGGTGACATGCGTTGAAGGTTGGCTTGTATGCTTAATTATTATTTTCCTTTGTTTCATTATAGTGATCAGCTTGAAAGAAAATGATCAATGAAAGGATTACTTTCAGGTGTGGGCTATCAAACATTCAGAGTAGTATGTGATGAGAGAACACCATGAGGACGTTGTTGCTAGTTTGAATAACCAACATATTCATCACATTATAACCTTGTTGTCTCTAGAACAAGATTTACCACCAACAAACGAGCATCTCGAATGTGGGAATGTTGAGAGACAAGTCTTCTATTTGGTGGACATGAGCTGAGATTCCCTATCGATGAGTAGATCTAATGACTGAGCTGCCTAACAAAGGAACACAAGTGACTTGGGAAAGGGAACCTCTGTCTAGATTCACTTGTATAGATTTTAAAAATAAAATGAAACAACCTCAACTTATAATGAATATTACTAAATTTATTAACACATTTATAAACTTTTTTCATTTTCAAACATATTTTACTCATATAATAACTATAGGTATTTAGGGATCTTTTTTTTGTTATAGATGTACATGAGTTTTTGTAGTATAATTGGCCAGAGGATATATGAAGGTTTCTAATAAAACGGCTTGACACTCTAGTTGAGAAATTAAGATTGTAGAATTTCTTTTTTCTACATGGGTGGATATGATACTCTATTTTTTATGAGAATTTTTTGGATGTCATGTTGTTTTGTCTATATAAGAATATGCTGTCTAATGTATTATTTCCATGTAATACATATTTGATTTTTGAGCACACAAATCTTCTGATTCCTACCATGCAATATTCAAGATCTCATAACATGCAATGATCCAAGTTACAATGGCATAGGAAAAAAAAAAATGTACAACTTGATTTTTTTCAGAGTTATGTTATGATAAGGTTTAAACTAGTGTAGCAAATTACTTCATTTTTCTTATGGTAATCATGAATTCAGTTTCAATATCAATGATTTCTATTTGATCCAGGTTTTTGATTAGTTCAAGAAAATAAACATAGGAGTTGACTTTATTATCTAACATTTCTAATGTTCATTTTTCTTAGAAAATAACCTCCTCTTGATCCCCTAAAAATCACTAGAGTGTATCCCCCTAAGGTGGTGGAGTCAATCCCCTAAAAGCCCCAAAGTCCTCTTGTCCAACATGATATCATTGCGAATGCTGTAAAGCATATCAAATCAAGAAAGAAAGCAGTATTTAAAAATCTGTTCTCATAGCAGGGCCCAATGAAGAAAAGCATAAAAGTAACAAAACAGAAAAAGAGCATAAGATTAACAAAACAAAAGGCAAGTGTAAAAAACCAATGGATTTTGATGAAGTCACTCATGAGGTATGCTCTACTAATAGTATTACTTTTATTACTAATGTTCCACTAATTTGCAAACATAATTTGCTTCTAAAATTGTTGAGTTCCAAGCTCCAGGATTGATACTGTAGCAAAGGCTAGACTTCATTGATATTTACTGTGCTCAATATGCTAATGTGTGATGAAAATATTTTTTTGATTTGTTGATTGTTATTTACTTATGGACTATCTAATTATAATGATTTATCTTTTCGTTGAATGGATTGTCGCTTCTGACCATATTTTGATGACTATGGATAAAATTGATGATCTACTCAATAATAAATATTTGAGCAATGCTCATATTGATGCATTTGCTCGTTTGTTGGTTGAGATAAACTTAATTTTGTATTGATTATATATGTGATTCATGTACATTTCATGTTTGCATTTTGTAAGTATCAGGATCACTAATTAATTATCTCTAACAATAGAATTTAGATTGTAATTAATTTCTAATTTCTATATTTTTTTTATTTGTATTTATTATGCTTTTAATTATTTTAAGGAAAGTAATATGTATATCAACCACATAAATAGGAATAATATTACAGAGTAAGTTGACTGGGCTCCCTACAGTAATGAAGAACCAATTTTAAGTGAGTGTTTTATGATTCATTGCTCAATTCTATTCATATATATATTTTTTCAATTTAAAATTAAAAATTTTAAAGCTCACTAAAATTAAGTATTTTATTTATTTATTTTTGTTAACTCTTAGTATCGAGGGATCATAAAAAACTGTATATGGATATACAAGTCCTTGATAGTGAATGTTTTAGAAGGTTTGTTCATAAATGTCAAATGATATGCAGAAGTCATAACTCACTCTGTAAGTCAACGACTCTCAGAGGAAAAGTCACGCATTTTCATGCAATGAGTGGGGGTCTGAAAATAAGAAGTTAATGCAATATGGAATGCTTTATGCATAAAGATGCAACATTGAATACTTTATGCATAAAGTGATCTTTTCGTGACTATTCCTAAATTGCAAAGATATTTCTATTCAATTTTAGTTAGTGTAAGTTTGGTTATTTTAAATGTGTAATGTTTCTAAGATTGTGAATGCAATGTCTTATATAATTTTTATTTCAGACTTTTATTTAATTTTTTGAAAAAATAAGTTAAAGTTATTTGGTTTGGGTAGACATAATAGTCCTTAAATGAGCCTATCGGGAATCTAGACAAAAAAAAAAGAATAATAAAAACTCGACCTAAAATTTGGTCAGATATATCGATCAAAATATAAAACAAGTAAAAGATGACAGGAGGGTATCAACCCTAGTTATATGTCAGACTCATCGATCAAAAGTGTCATCCAAAAATTGTCATTGGTTTAGTTAAGGTTCATCCTTTGCCGTATGTTTATCTTCTCTTGGATTATTCGGATGCTAACGATTGTTCAACCATGACAGACACCCTAAATCTAAGAAGAGAAAATATAAAAAAATAAATAAAACCCACATTACTATGTTAACTTAGATATAAGTACAACAACACTGCAAAACAGAGTTAGCACACCCTAAGCTTATTATGCAACATTAAAATATGTAAATTAAATCTACAACAACCCAAACTAGCAAGCTACAAGAGTGTAGTATATAAAGGAAAGACTATTTTAGTTGTTCTAAATAATGTTTAATGAGAAAACACAAAAACAATGAAAAGTCCTCAACGACTTAATCCTGTGACGTCTAAAGGTAGTAAGTATAAAGTGAGAAAGATGGTGACAATATCAAGTTAAGATGTCCGTGGCTTTCAATCATTTTGGGTCATCATAGTCCTTGATCTACTTAGTCAGAAAAGATAATTATTTCAATTTTGCCGAAAGATTCCTGTCAGAAATCATGGGCTCATCATCTAAGAAATCCTCATAAATCTAGGAAAATTGTTTGAGTTTCATTTGGTTTTGTTTGTTCAGTAGGGGCTTAATTTACATATTAGTGGATTTTATGATGAATTTTAAAGTTTACTTTAAGACTTAGTGAATTTTATGAGCTTTAAATTTTTTGAATTTTATGTCTTTTATTTGGATTTTATTTAAATTTTTAAATAGGATTGTCTTTTAATTTTTAATTTATGACAACCATGGTCAAGAACCTATAGTTCCATCACATCACCCTGTCCTTAGTATTTTTAGTCTACTTGTTTAAGAATAAGTAGAGGATTCCTTGTTAGCAACCATGGGATTGCCTCATCTAAAGATGCCTTGCAGGCTGAGTTTAATCAGGTTTAAGTTGAAGTTTTAGTAAATTTTATTATGAGTTTTAGATTTTATTGATTTAAATTTTATTTAATTCATTTTATTTTTTGTATATCTTAACTTTTTT